AGAGAGAGAGAGAGAGAGAGAGAGAGAGAGAGAGAGAGAGAGAGAGAGAGAGAGAGAGAGAGAGAGAGAGAGAGAGAGAGAGAGAGAGGAGGGCACAAACCCGAGAGAATTGGATTGCTCTATGAGTCCGCAAGTATATTAAGCAGCCATACCAAGTGTATGGCAGCGAAGAGGGACGAACAGCATATAACCCAATAAACTGAGCTACTGAGATGGGCGAGTGCCCTGCTTGGGCTATACTTGCAACCATCGACTCCTTGCCTGCTCCATCTACAACTACTAGAAGGGCGGAAGGCCCTGGAATTCGTCCCTTCACAGTGTTATGGCACTCGTTACTGCAGAGATCGCCTTTCCCAAAGCTGGTACAACCTGCCGTTCCTCCGTCTCATCGGACTCTTCACAGCAGACGATGCTTTGAAGACGAATGTCCTCTCCTCTCGCCCTCCTGCTGCCGGACTTCGTCACCCTGACAGATGATGTGGTTCGCTGCTTAGCACCTCTTCCAGAGGATGGCGAAGGCCAGACGGAACTTGGTGTCTTGGGAGTCGAGAAACATTGCGGCCTTGCGGCCTTGCACCCTGACCACCGTCTTGATGTTCAGGTTGGGAACGCTGTTGCGCTGGCTCCACACGAAGGTCGCGAAGCGGTCCGTGGCCTCGAAGCTCCTGCTTTGCGGGCCGTAGAATGTGCGGCTGATGGTGGGCGTGCCCGTTTGTCCGGAGAAGTAGTAGCTCGACTCGTAGACGCCCAGCGAGTTTGCGCCGATGGCTGCGAACCCGCGGCCGGTCGCCTTCCCCAGCGTGAAAATCCACCCGTCAGGATACTTCAGCGCGAAGGAGAGCTGGCAGAACTTCCTCTTCTCGGCGAGCCCTGCGTCGGTTGTGGCAACCATGCCGCCGAAGATGAACGTGACGGTGGAATAGTCCGGCGAAATCACGTAGTTCGTGTTCCCCCAGTTGCAGCCGGTGCCGGCATAAGTGACGTAGTCTATGGTCACCTTGGGCGGGCAATCCGCGCTGGCGGTGGATGCAGCAGCGATCAGAAGCACGGCAGCCAGCGCTGCCATCGGAAACGTCAATCGTGCCATCGCTCCGGACCTGAACTTGGACGCCCTCCTGCGCGCTACGGTAGGCTGGTCGCTGAAACTCGGTCTTCCGCCGGCCTCCGCTCTCGACTCCCCTTCGAGGTCGCTCGTCAAGTTACTCCCGCAGAGGGATATATTAGTGCGCAATCAATGCACAATGAAACGAGGAGGCGCAATTCAATCTATGCCCTAGTTGAGAGGGGGCTGTTCACTTTTATACACCACACGAAGGTCGCGGAGCGCTCAAAACGAAGGTGTGGGCCGCGCTCCACTCCTCACTCCACTCCTCCACTTTCTATGCGCATCTGGACTTCAATCGTGGGCCGTATACACTCGAACGGATAAAAATTATCAAACGTATCTGGACAGGGAAGCTGTCCACATGCGTTTCGAACTCTGTGCGATGGAGCGAATCCCTGTGCCTTCAACCAGCACTACTGCGTCCGACCTCCGACGACCGTGGTAAGGGACTCCTCACACAACTACTGCAAGCTTGGATTGGATTGGATTGGAATGCACTCCGAGACAGCGCAGTCGCAGATGTCCGTGCGCGACATTGAGGGCCAGATCTCACTTGGAATAAGTGTCTGAATCAGGACATGTTCCGCTCAGAGATGCAGAAAAGCTCCTTCATCAGAGGGGTCTCATTTTTGCACCTCTCCACGTACACGTCCAGATTCAGACACKTATTCCAATCGTTTTTGCCAGTGGGATCTCTCCCTGAGTCTCTCTCATCAGAGGGGTCTCATTTTCGGCCGAGAACTGAGAGGTAGACGACCGAAAACGACACTAAAAGTCAGTTTGGGGCCTGCGCCACTTTTTGCCCCGTGTGGGGGCAAGTGAGGTTTGATTCTTCCCAGACTCCAAAGGAAAAGAAAAGTTCAGGTACTTGAGGGGTCTGCCCTTGACTCCCAAAATGACACGGTCAATAGTAAACCCTCCTCTCTTTTTACTCTGAAACAGGTAAAATAGGGAATCCCTGGCTACACAGGCTGCTGACAAATGGGCAGACAAATGGTACATTTACTACTTCGGCAAATCTGTGTGACCCATCCTGTACCTCTTTTAGGGGGAATTTGGGATTTCAGGACCTTTTTTTTTCTTTTTTTTTTTATGGAATGGCCCATGCGATATCCCTCCATCCTGGCGGCGGTAGGAGAACCGTCAGAATTGAGGGCTTACCTGTCGGGCTGCTCCATCTATTGGTGGGGAGCGGCACCTGCTGGAAACCGGGTCCAGCGTCCCATTGGTACATAGTGTAGCACTAAGATTGGTGTTTGTTGTTCCTTGGGGCTATGGTTGTTACTGACTCTGTGACGAACCACTTCCCGACCCCGGGCCATCTTTCGTACCCTTTCTTTTGCTTCTATCATACCAACCCCAGGAAAACCCCGTTTTGAGTTCTTGCTTTCAGGTGCCGCATTGTCCTTTTTGAGAGCTTTTTCGACTGCTGAGTTCTGTTTTTTTTTTTTTTTTGGAAGGTCGGGAAATACATGGGAATTTACGTGCGCCTTAGCGAGCGCACTGGGAATTGGGCTCAGCAGTTGGGAATTCTGGGATAAGCGGAACTTCGACGTGTCCTTTTCGGGTGTGTTAATGTTCTTGGGCGCACCGCGGAAAGCTTTCGGAATTTTGCGTGAATACGAATAGGCGTAGGATTTTCTTTTCCCGCGTCGCTTTTTCGCACGCGGCTATGGTGATTTCAATTTTGAATTAGGAGAGAAGCAAGCCGTAACTGTTTCGGTGCCTTTTTCTTTCTTTTTTTGTTGACGACGCCACGCATGCAGAGGCTTTCTCCTCTCTGTCCCCCGCATCGCTCCCTCCCGCGCTCCCTCTCC